TTTTCGGTTGAACTGCAGGCAGCGTTTACACTAAGAACTGTGGGAAAAGTGTAAATAGTAAAATACCTACAGCATGTAGAGTCATAATCACATTTTATTCCATTACTGTAACACCTGTGGACGCTTGGAAAGGTGTTTTACATCTTGATTCCAGGTGTTGTCAATTTTAATAAACTAAATAATCAAAGAAATTCAACTTAAATCTGCTCTTTAAAATCTGCTCTCTAAATCTGTTTTTTTTAGCTCCCTCTCCTTCTAGTCATGGCTGTTCTGGTTCCGTAGAGGTGTAGGAATTTATACTGCACTGAAAAATGAGGCCACAGTGAGTAAAAATGTAACAGAAGCAAAAAAAACTCCAGAAACTGTTTGGAGTTCAGAGGGTTGAGTGAAGAAAGGTGTCATAAATTGGGCAAATCTTTGGTGGGGAGGCAAAAATATTACAAAACAACAACCGTACAAACTTTCGCTTGAACAAGAGAAACAAAAGTGTTGTCACTTCGTTGTTCAACATGTTTCCTCATGTTCTGAGGAAAACTGTTTGCTAAAAACACACTTCTACGGTTCTTCATGTAGCTCTGTTGATTAGAGAACAAAGCGTTTCTTCTTCCTCTTTTGTTTGGGCTTTGAGGACAGTTTCACAATCGCTCTGCTCTCCAGCTTCATGTGCAAACAGCAATATTTAGCTTTAGCCGCTGTGAGGTCTGAAAGTGGAAAAAAAGCTCTGAGGTTCAGCGAAACATAAAAGAGACCACTCATTATGAATCATTCACGTTCCTGATGGGACGCGTGATTCAGCCAGGAGCTGTGACCTCCTTTTGTCTGGACTACTGACCTTCTTTTCACGTCTTAGACACAATAGTTTGATCAGAAAGTTGGGGGTTGGAGGTTTAAAAGGCGTACCTTGAGGTAAATCTGCGTACTGGATGTCACAGTGAGGAGGAGCCCAGCCAGGGTCGCAGTGACACTCGTTCTTGTGGTTGCACACCTGAAGAGAAAATCCAGGTCTGAGATTAGAAGACGTGAGTCAGCGGAATCTGATCTGAGCTGCGGTTTCAGGGAAGGCAGATTGGTACGGATGCCTGATTCAACACGATGTCATGTGAAGAATTTAGAGTTTTCAGATTTCTGTTCTGGAAATTAATGCAAATCAGTTCATATTTAGACAGTTAATGCCTCGTTTGCATATTTACACAGACATTTTCAGAAAGCATGTAATAATTCCCTCAACATAAATCATCA